TAACGAGCGACAGTGCAGGGTAGATATAAATGATTCACATGAGAAAGCAGATGATACTCTGCTAGACAGATGTGTTATTTACACTCTGGAATCTTTCCATTTATTTACTTTTACATCTAAAAAAAAGTTCCTTCAAACACTTCTCTCATTGTTCTGTAGGGATGTAAGCCGGTTAGATTAAGAGTAAATATACTGGAAGTTTACTCTGTTTCAAGCTGCTAACCAGCAGAGGGTGCGGCTATTTACTTATTTATAGCCCACATCCTTTGCTGCCTCCCTTTGCTGATAGACACAGTTGTCCCTTGCCACCAGCAAACCACCAGTGCCTTGATTACACTGGAACCACCTGCTGTCCTCATGTCGCTCTCAGGCATGCTCAGTGCTCTCTTGGATTAGACAGTTGTGGGACCTTCTCACGGGCATTAAGATTTGTGTTGTGGACCTCTCAGGCCACACATAGCCCATCTTCACTTAGCTGGAGCTCCAGATGATTTATAACAAGACTGAAATTTAATCCCATGGAGATAATAATGTGTTGTCTGCCACATACACGTATAGTAGAATAGCATCAGAAGCTTTATTCTAAGCAGGCCCAAGTTAATTGGGAATCTCAGGCACCACAGAGCACCTGTCTCTTCCTGTCAGTGACCTAATCCTCTAAAAACTGTGTCTGCCCTTTTCCTACTGATAACTCAAGACTTGGGAACATAAATTCGTGATAGCCATATATAAATGTTGTCGTGCGGGAGCAATTACGCTTTAATCCACTCTGCGCTGACGGCAGAGAGCCTTTAATAGCAAGAATGTTTTAATTACATTCCAGAGGAGACAAGGCAGGGCTGAAAAGCTCATCTTACACCACATTGTTCTTAGTAAAGGCTGTTTGTTGGGTCTGTCTTTCTGCAGAAGTTCTTTATTTTATTTTATTTTATTTTATTTTATTTTATTTTATTTTATTTTATTGTATTTTATTGTATTTTATTGTATTTTATTGTATTTTATTTTATTTTATTTTATTTTATTTTCAACACAAATATAAAAGCTCAAGCTAATAAAATTACAGACCATGCTTCAATCTCTGGAGATGAAAAATTAAGTAAACACAGATGTGGCAAAAAGACTGCAATTCCTCGAATGGCCACTTGAGGCTGTCTTTAAAGGCGAGTCAAATCCCTTAGGCTACGTTCACACTGCAGGTCTTAATGCTCAGTTCCGATTTTTTGATCAAATCCGATTTTTTTGTTCGGATTTTTTTTTTTTTGTTTGCTTGTTCACACTACAAACAAAATGTGACAGCAAACGGGCTCTAGTGTGAACCCTCAAAGCGGCCCGCATGCGCAAAAGAAGCTCTGTTAAGACCCAGAGCAAACAGTATTGTTTGACTGATGGCCCTTAATTGTAAGAGTTGTTTCGGACTTTACGTTCCCCAATTTTGCTTTAAGTTATTTTGTTATTTACATATGGCCTATTAATGATCCTTATTGCTGTTTTAGAGAGGAGCGCTGCTTCAAAGGATAGTTACAGATTTCTGTCAGAATCTGCAGATTATACAGTACAAATAAAATGTTCACGTTTCTCCAACGTTGTCTTCCCAACAGTTTCACTGACATCTACACTGGATGTAAAAGACGGATTTAATGCGACATTACCATTCAAACGGCAGTCGCTTTCTAAAACATCAGATATGTATCGGATTCAGTACTATATGAAAGTGGCCTGAGTCGGATTTGAAAATGTCAGATTTGTGTTGTTCAAACTGTCGTAACATGATCGGATTTGGGTCGCATAGGGTCAGAAAAGTCGGAATTGATGAGCTTTCGCCTGCAGTGTGAAGGTAGCCATAAACTCCCATATGAAACTGAAATGAAAACTTACATTATAACACTATTTAAAGTTTAGTACGATTAGTTGTTTTGACCTGTGTGGTATGAGTATGAATGAAGTATGAATGTCATGGTAATTTGGGGCTTATAATTATGACTTTAAACAATTATGACTTTAAACTGATCATTCCAGTGTGGAATGATCACGACACATGCAACTGGTTGGGGGTGAGTGGATGAAGGCAGGACAAAGACATGTTCTGGAACACGTACATTACTCAAAAGGGATAGAATAATTCAACCCAGTTTTCCATCAGGACAATGATCCCAACATAACGACTATTAAAGCCCCACCTTCAACCCTATTGAAAATTTGTGGGATATAGTTAAAAGGCAGGGCTTTGCGAGGAAACTACCAATTCTGCCAAGAAGCGTGGTCAGATATCCACCAGAATTAATGCAGAAGCTTGTTAATCTGGTCGAGATGCAACTTACTAAGCGGCACATCAACAAAGTATTGGTTGGGGTGCATGCATATATATTTTTGAGCCTGTGTAAATGAGCAGAAATCTAAAATAAATACAAATTTATATCTGCTGTACATTCATTTCACCTTGGAAAAAGAACACTCAAAGAAAGTATTTCAACCTCAAATTACGCTGATATTCATGCTATGGTGAGTAGACGTAAACAATAACTCTATGACATGAAGGTGATCTGTCTCTCCAAACTCTTAAACTAAAGACTCCTAAAATCAAGCAAATTATCTAATAGCTAGACTTTGAAATTATATTGAAAATCCTTTCAAAATGTTTTATTGTTCCCTCATGTCTTAAAGATGTTTCTTTTGTAATGTACGCTACTATATGTAGTTAGGAGCCTGCTTTTCTTCTTATATGTTCCTTTTGTAGGTATGTTTGCATGCTTCACGAGTACTCACTTGCTCTTGTTATTATTTTTCTCTGGTTTCTCTATATAAGCACCACACTGGAGCACTTTGTAAGAGAAATTCCCATAGTGACTTAAGCACTACGTGGTTTCAAACTTCAGTGATGCATGAGTAAGTTCCCTGAATTGTGTACACTGTGAAATATCTAAAGCTAGTGGGATGGGTCATATTTGCAGAGACTCTTGGTACATTATTCTGTCATCATCTTTTATTTGCTTCCACATTTCTTTCTTTAATCTGTGCCAGTGGCTCAGTAGTTCTTTATATATGTGCCTTTGGCTTTGTGAGACTGGAAAGCACAAGTGTGTCTGTGTATGCATCTGCTGTGTATCCGAAATAGTCCCTCATCTTGTCCTTACAAAGGAATGAGGAGCTGTGCAGGGTCAGAGAAGGCAGTAGGGGGGTCTGCAGGGGATAAATGGGTGTGTGTGTGGCTGTGAGGACTTGGTGAAGGAGAAAATAGATTATTCCATCTGTCTCAGAATCTGCCCTGCTGCTGACCCACACCCAGGAGACGGTGGTCACATGGTAACCAAACCTTTAAAAACTCCCAACATGCTCACCCAGGACTCCAACTATCTCCAGACACCAGCTGGTCTTGGTGCTCACACTGCTTTCTCTGAGACACCATCATGTCAGACACAGAGGAAATTGTGGAGGAATACGAGGAGGAGGTGGAAGAAGAGGTCGAGGAGGAAGAGGATGACAACGAACAGAGGCAAGCGGAGCATGAAGGAGAGACCAGACCTCGACCTAAAGCAACTTATGTGCCTAATATGGCTCCTCCAAAGATCCCAGATGGAGAAAAGGTGGATTTTGATGACCTGCATCGCAAGAGGCTGGAGAAAGATTACAATGACCTCCAGACACTGATTGAGCTGCATTTCACCAGCCGTCAGAAAGAGGAAGAAGAACTGATGGCGCTACGTAACCGCATTGAACGCCGCCGCGCTGACAGGGCCGAACAACAGCGTGTTCGTGCAGAGCAGGAGCGTGAGCGCCAGACGCGGGTTGCCGAGGAAAAAGCAAGGCGCGAAGAGGAGGCAGCCAAACTGCGGGCTGAGGAGGAAGCCAAGAAAAAGATGGCTTTCTCCAACAAGTCATTCGGTGGCTACCTGCAGAAGGTGGACCAGAAGAAGGGCAAGAAGCTAACAGCTCGTGAGGAGAAGAAGAAGGCCCTGATGGAGCGCAGGAAGCCGCTCAACATCGACCACCTGAGCCAGGAGAAGTTGGTGGAGAAGGCACAGGAGCTCTGGCAGTGGCTCCACCAGCTGCACGCCGAGAAGTTTGAGCTGGCAGAAAAGCTCAAGAGGCAGAAGTACGACATCCACGTGCTACGAAATCGTGTCAACGACCATCAGAGGTGGTCGAAAACATCGAAGACCTCCCGTGGGGCCAAGGGCAAGTCTGGCGCTTGGAAGTAAGCACCTTGTGGAAGCGCACCACGTTCCTGCTGGACTATTTGGTCACCAAATTGTATGATAAAAGCTATCCAAGCAGCTGTGCGTAGATTGAGTTGGACTGCAATGATTCAAGCAAAATAAAGTCAAGGTTGAATGATATCTGTGAATGTTCTATTGAGATTGAAGAAGTTAATTTGTCTGATTTAACTCAATATGAATGCATGGTGGTTTTATTTTACGACGCCACAAGAGGATGTCTCGTGTTTCATTTTTCACAGGTGAAGCTGTAAAAAGTCATCAAATAGTGTTGAATCTTCCCCTCAGAAAACTATACCTTTTATTATAAGAAAAGAAAGTTTTTCTTGTCACAATACAAGAAAAATGGGCAAAAGTGGCACTGGTTAGGTGGTGGATGATAGCTGTAAAGTCAAACAGGTGCTGCACAGCTGAGTTTTATGTAGCTAATTTAGTCTCTGAAGCTCCTGCAGCACTTAGAGCAAAAAGGCCACTAAATGTTGACTGATAGCAGTTTTAGGTTTGATGATCTTAAAAAGTACAGAAAATTGTTTCAATGTACAAGTAACAAATTCTTCTTTATGATCATGGGTGTAAATCACAGTGTCAGTTATTTAAAGCGTGCTCCTGTATCAGCTGAAATCGCATAATGAAGTAATATAAAATAAGTGTATTTGTACAAATCCACATGGAATAATGATTGGCTGTTAGACTATTTTTTTCTGTTTCCTAAACACGTCTTTATTTAATGATTCAAGTCAAAATGACAGGTCACAAGAAAAAGATAGCATAGGATTTTACTCATATAATTCCCATCAAATATGTGACTTTATCAGGTTGTATCACTGAGACTGATTACAGTTTTAAAGTAGACAAGCAAGAAAACTGATGATCCACCGGAGAGTGAAGTCAAATGTGAGCAGCAGAGGGAGGAAAATATGACCTCTTAAAATAAAAAAGACAAACAAAAGAGCAGCGGAAGCACAAACAGCTGACCTGACTATATGTTCATCACACAGACAAGTGCAAAGCAGGGAAAGGAACAAAACCAAAATATGAGACATAATATGAGACATAAGAAAGCCAACCTTCAAACCTTCAAAATACAACAGGAAGTAACCAGGAAAGAAATAACCAACAAAGAAGACGATGCAGCGCACACAGACGCATCATATCTAACTTTTCAAATGTTCCAGTAGAATACGAGCAAAGAGCTTTCTTTTAGCTCATTCCAATAAAATGCTCAGTGCTAAAAAGTTCAATGACTTAACCTTGTAAGTTGTGTATTTAAAGGTGCAGTCGGTCATTTTTTTTTGAGAAAATAAAAATAATCATGTTTTTGTCTTCGGTTTTCTCCATTATCCAACCAGATTCTTAAGTAAAACGTTTTCTTTTTTTTGACCATGAAGGGTTTCATTGGATTAAAGCAAGCTTCTTTTGACAAGAGATACTCAGAATTCATTTAAGTTTGTTTTTTTAATAATAGCATAGAAAGCCCTACATGGCCAAGGTCCTGCACATATACCAGAGCTACTGAGACCGTGTAGCAGCAGAGGGCCTCCAAGATAAACTGAATAGAGTGTTTAAACTACTCCATGCTCTTATTTTAAATTCAGAGGCAACAACTTTTGAGGTTGTGGCTTTTGAACTTTGGAGCAGCCTTCCTGAACCCGTTAGGTCGGCTGGATCGGTGGCTTATTTACTTTTCCTTAATCTTTCACCCATTTTGGGGGCTATAACACACATCTAAGGTGTTTATGAAAGAATGCATGAAGGAATGAGTGTAAGACCTTTTATTTGAATCTGTGTTTGAATGCTGGGACGTGTACACTTCCCTTCAATTTCTGTTATAAAAAGTGCTGTACAAATCCAGATTTAGTAGCATATGTTATTTTGTATTGACTAGAAAATTGATGCCCACTGTCATCCCGTTTCTCTTTAATTATTATCTGTCACATTGTGGCGATCTCTTTGCAACATTATAGTCCAGTTTGTGTCCACTGCAGTCCTGTTACAGGTTAAATGACTGTCAGAGCTTTTAGCAGTGACATGGTAATTCCACTAGATGGCACTAGAAAACCAGTTTGAAGCATTTAAGCGTTAAGGTAATGTGAAAAACACACCCAGGAGACATTACATAACAAAATGTTCACATCTGCACCATAAAGGGTTATAATAATTACCTGGTTGCATTCAGGTTTATTGAAGACATCTTAGAGAAGCATAAAATGTTCAGATCATATACCTCACACAACTGGACGATGTAGTCTGTGGAATTATTGCACATAATTGGCAATAATTATGGTACGATGGCTCCATTTTATGTAGCTATGCAGGTATAGGGTTTGCAATTACGATACATGATCCTGATTAAATTCACAAACGTTAAAAGTTTCGAGCTTTTATTGTTTGCACTTATTCCTTCGGTGTAGTTTAAAGGAAGTGAGGTAAAGTGAAATGCAGATAAATGATAGCAGATGATTTGTAGATTCAGACTTTTTTCTGTATCTATTTGCTTCTGTGTAAACCAGCTTTCTGATTGTCCAGCATGGAAAACATCCTCTTTACCAACAGTTAACTGCAGTGCAACATAAATTATCATTAGACCAAGCTGTGGGGAAATTTCTCACCCCCTGTGGCTTTTGATTGTCATTCAGGCTTAGATTGCCTTACTGCTGTTTTGCTGTCATGGCGCTGACAAGCCATTAAAGCTTTCCAGACACGGCGGTATACCCACAGGTTACCATAGACACGGGGAGGACCTGTCTGCACAATCAGGTCTCTATACCCCCCCTCCAGCCTCACTATGCCCACTCTTTCATACACACCAGCTAAAGGTATGGTGCGTATATTGATGGTGTTGTGACAAATGCCTGACCTGACAGCATCGGGAAGCACCAGAGCACCAATCAAACACCTGCGTCTCACCAGGGAACAAGAAGTTCCCAGAAGTTCTGCTGCTGAAGTTGGTAACAAGTCGTTTCCTGATGGCGGCAGCTTTGTAGTCCTGAGTTCCCTTTAGATTTGAAGGAAAGCTTGCAAGGAAGGAGTTGAAACATGTCTACTCATATCAAAAAGGCTGTGTGTGTGTGTGTTCACAGCAACTGCAAGGTCATCAGGGGGAGGGCTGTTCTGTTCTCATTAGTACCTTTTTAGAAAAGAGGAGAATGCAAGTGCTGCATGATTGGCAGCTCCTGGGCCACATATTCTATTCTGACCAGAATCCTATTATGTGGTCAGAATAGAATATATGGTGTAGGTTTGTTTTATTTGGGGCTATTTTGTTTTGCATGTCATGGTCTGAGGAAATAAGACATCAAAGCTTTCTTACTTGTCAAAAATCACTGACAGATGAAAGACATTTTTAGCAAGCAAATTGCTCGAGATGACGGTTTAAGAGGCCTGTCATCAGACGTGATATTTTTTTTGGTTTGATGTGACACTATTTAGTAATGCTTTGAATACTCCTCATTGATGTTTTTCTGTTCATCCATAAGTATTATTTTTTTTGTTTTCCTGGCGGCTATAAAACAGAAAATGGAAAGACATGTAGTATGATGTATGTGTAGCTGAATGATACCAGATAGCCAATATTGGCAATCATGGCTGTATTTGAATTAACTGCCTGGAAATCCAAAAATCCAATATTATCTGGGCTCCGGTAGCATACAGTATATTCTTGTACCTCTATGTGGTTATAATGCGCACTTTACACACTAACTGGAGTCTGACCAACAAAAGCAATATTTTGCAGCATTTACCTGATTTAGCCATTTCAGAAGTTTAGGCATTTTATTAGCTCACTTTATTAGCTGAAGATTTCATTCTGATCTGAGCACAGTACACAAGAATCGCTTTTACCTGCAGCACTGATCACTCAATTTAAATTATTTAGTAGCATAAAGATTCTCTGTTGGAAAATTTAGCTTGTTTTTTTAATACAAAATATTACTGTATTACTAAAATATTACTAAATAGTACGCATGTTGCATACTATTTGTGTCCCATTAGATCAGGGATGTCAAACATAAGGCCTGGGGGCCAGAATCAGACACCAATCTGGCCCACTGGATAGTTTTGGAAGATGTGAAGGAGGACACACGTTTTGGAGTTTTAATGCAAAGACCTCTTTAAGAGCTCCTCTACAACCATTCATACTACAACAAGATAATTAAGTTATAGATTACAAATAAATGATAGACAAGCTGATTCTTCATTATCTACTCTAGAAATTGTATTTCTTTTACAACTGGGCCACAATTAAAACAAACAAGAAAAAAGGACATTTTCTGTGACTTAACAAAAACTTCCTGTTTTGTAATGACAGGACACTTTTGTGCTGACAGATTTCATTCAGTTAGTACAGCAGCAGAAAAAACTGAGATGTGCTGTTGTGCTTCTTTTTCTTATATTGCAATATCTAAGGGATTAAAAACTGAGCAAATGCTTACTTCTATACTGTTAAGCAGCAACATGTTGGCATCAGTGATTACTCGGGTTTTTGTGAAGATTTCTGTACTTACACTATGTGTGGAAATGACCCAGTTTCTTATCGGACATTGTTTCTTTTAACAAATACACAATTCTTTTAAATCAATTGCTTAGATCATGAAAGTACCGCATAAAAAGTAAAGTGACAAAACATCCACGCACCCAGTCATCAGTATTTACAAGTCTGTTACTCGTCAAGCTAATATTTCAGTGTGTTTTTGAGTTTATTGGTCTAGTTTATTAGAAAAGATAAAGAAAAGCTTGTTACTATAGTATATAGTATAGTATTTTTTTTACTTTATTTACACATTAAAGAATATTTTTTTCATCTTTTTAACAAAGGACATTAGTAGACATTGCCTTTCAGATTAATTAGTTAATTTTTCTTTATAATAGTGACATAAAAATATATTAATGGGAATACTTTCTTAAATGCAGTCATAATGTCTTTGTGCTTCTGCATTTAGCCCAGCAGTGTCTGCAGTAATGCTGCCATAAAGCCTGTGTAATGTAGTGGCTCGTCATTACTGTAACTTGTTAATGAGTATTAAATTATGCCTCTTGGTAAACACCACAAAAGATAAAAAGACAATTTTAGAGTCTTTCATGCAATAAAAGTCATCTGTTTTTACTGTGTTTTGAAAGTTTCTGTT